TTGTGCTGAAGTAATGTACCTATTTTGAGATTGAAATCTCATTAATTACGCGAGTAATTAGAAAAAAAACAGTTTTTAATTTTCAACTTTGACACCCTGTATATCGAATAAGAAGGGCTAAAATGAAAAATGGTATTTAGAAACTCATATTATTTTTGTTCAAGGAATATAATATGGTTAATGGATTGACCTCCTTTTAGCGGACACCCTACAATGTTATATCTTCAAAATGATGATTCGTCCTTTCTCGAAAAAAAATAGTGTATTATACACAGGAAGAATATTAGATTTTAACTCACGGTTTTTTCCACAGCCTAGAGCTAGAATCTAGTACTTTTTTACCTTGGATAATAAATAATAATTTTTTTGTGAAAGGAAAAAAGTTTGAAATTTCATCTCTGCTGACAGGTAATGGCATGATACTTTTCATAAATCACTTTTTTCCCACGGAAAAAAAGTGAGTACTTTTTTCCCGGATATATTATATCAGATATACAGGCTGACATAAAAAAGTACATTGCATAGTGCAAGGCCTTCGGGTTATAAAAGTTACGGAGCGTTTAATTTAATTTTTTTTTTATGCAAATCCAGAGACGCAAAAAATGGATAAAATATGATATATGGGTTTTTCATCATGCTGAATTCGAATATGATCTTAGTTTTGTGATTAATATTAGAGGGCGCTACATACAGGGTTTCATGTACCTATATTGAATCGGTCGTAACTTTTTTGCAATACACTCTATGTCTTTTTAGATTGAAAAAATTTTATATCCCTTCTTGTATTTTTTTTTATCGCTTGGAGCGCACGAAAGGGAATCCCTATAATGTTCTTGTATACTCAAGAAAGGTATTCCTTGTCCAAGTAGATAGAAGGAATGGTTCCATTACAATTACTTGAATGATACCACACATGATGGTAGTCAGAATCAGATCATCTGGCTATACGCAGTGAAAAATTCAGGCCAAGAAATAGAGGCAAGTTTCCACAAAGAATAAGTTTTTTTTGTCCAATTTCGTGATGTTATTTTTGTATTGGTATCATTCAGTTGTATCTTCTTCGTTTCATTCCTTGAAAGAAAATCAAATTTTTTTGTGATTTTACTCGTTATTTATTTCACTCTATAGACAGATAATATCATGCGTGGTATCATTGAAATTCATATTAGAATTATTATACACGGTGATTTGAAAAATGCAATTATCCAAAAATTGTAACGTTGATAAAGAACACCCCTTAAGAGATATTGTTCTGAAAATTGATATAGGCGTATTTGTGATTAGTCCAAATCGATTACCATATTATGAAAATGTTTGCAAAAAAATGTCTACCCATTTTCTTCGATTTGCTGAAAATTTTGGTGATCGCAGTAGGCCAAGAAATTGTGTATAATAATTTTTTTCTGCTCGACAAAGTAGATAATTTTGAGTAGTCTATTATGAGAGGAAACAAATTTCAGGAATACGGAAGTACAAGGGTGGGATGGACCTTATTGTAACACACTGTATGTAGTTACCCTGATCATTCTGGAATAGCATACCGAGTTGAAATGTTTTTATAAAGGAGTAAATATCAATATTTTTACTGAAATACAACAATTTGAATTTCTTAAATCCGAATTATTTATCAAAAATAATCTAAGCCTACATTTTTTTTACCATATTGGGAAATACTTGAATTTCTATTTCTGATTTGTATTTGTTTTAATCACTTCAGCTGGGAATATACTCTTATACATGGAATAATTCATGTCTTGTTTGTGCTAATTCCTCAGCTTATTTTTGAATTTTCATTCTTATGTTCTTTCTATATCCAGTTTCATAACCTAAAGTTGGTTTTCTAATAGTTTCTCATCAGTTAGTTTTAATCATTATGAAATATGCTTTCGTATGTAATGTAGTCGAATATCCATCTATATATCTATATAGAATTGATGAAGTTATGTCAAATGACTATTAAGATGATGAAGAAAATCGTACTCCTACCCAGTGAAAGCGTTCGGCTCTGTCAAATTACAGGACATACAAAAAATTCCAGAACTGTTAGTTTTCACCCTACTTTTTGACTTCTCGAATACTTCTTCAAGACTTTTCCAATTGAAATTAGTTCCTAGGTATATCTTTCGCTTTCGTGATATCAGAGATAGAAGCTAGAAGCATACGGTTCTTCTACAAAATGGCAGCTAACCTAATGGTTTCTCTTGGGAAAAACTCCTAAAACAGACAATACCATAACCCAAACCCAATATCCAGTTACATCGTAACTGTTCCCTATTTGATGCTTTCGTTGATCTCTGAATCTACCAAATAAGGGTGCGAAACGTAAATTTGTTCAACAATATCCGGAAATGTGCAAATGTGTGTCAACCGAGGTGTCAACCCCTTCGGTGACTCACACACTTGCAACGACCTTCACACTGTTCACCCCCATTTCATATCTCCCAAATGCGTACGTCCGCAAACGGACAGGAGTGACTGCAAAAATGGGAAGATATTAAGTGCGCCAACCCTTCCGCTTCCGCAAATCTCGACATGTGCGACCAAATATGTGGGTGGAATTAGAGACGATCACCCCTGCTGGGATATATCATTTCGGTGCGGAATTTCGGAGGTCCAACGATTTGCGATCGACCGTTACGTTCGTTTGCTGAGATGAATGATGATCCATGGAGCTGAAACATTGCAGCTGATGTGGTTGTAAATCAAAATATTTTGTTTTGTTGAGGTTACTCAGTACCGAGGTCGTATCGAAATGTATTGTTACAGCTGCAAATTGAGTCACTTTCTTTATATTTTTGTGGTTTTCTCTGTGCGTTTCAATAGATACTAATATAAGTATTATTCCAATATGCCTGTAGCGAGGACAAATCCAATGATTTGCCCCAAAATTCCACTGTGCTCAGAGCGTCCCAATTAGGAACCTAAGAGGATAATTCAATAGATAGAAATACATTGAGAATTCGCATTCTCCAGGTGATGAAAATATTAATTCTTTCCCGGTTTATTCAACAGAAAACAACTACTTTCCTGGCTATATGCCACGACGAATATTGAATTACATCTATTGAACACACCCGATAAGAATTTGAACACAAAATCTTCTGAAGTAGAGAATTTGCATTCTCCTTCATATAAAGATATGCATATGATATGAAATTCGAAATGCATAGGAGTATACTTGTTTGAACTCTGATCTTGATGAGCTTGGAACTTCCAAAAAAATCATTCGTATCAGTGATATGGGAATAATATCTCTCACAAAAACTCATCTCGGATATCATATCCTCATCAGTAACCTGAAGTCCAGTTATTCTTTCAGACATTCTTCATGATAATGTCGATCCTCAATGTCGAAGGATTTTGATTTTTCATGCTCTCTTTTTGGATATTCAACAGATATAATTCAATGTTCGACGTGGCAAATAGCCAGGAACGTAGTTGTTTCCTGTTGAATATTCAGAATGATATCATATGCATATCTTTATATGAAGGAGAATGCAAATTCTTTACTTCAAAAGATTTTGTTTTCGAATTCTTGTTGTGTGTGTTCAATAGATGTAATCCAATATTCGTCGTGGCATATAGCCAGGAAAGAAGTTGTTTTCTGTTGAATAAACCGAGAAAGAATTTATATTTTCATCACTCTCCTGGGAATATTCGTTTTCAATAATTTAACCCAATCAAGGGGTCCAAACTTGAACGATGGAAACTTCTTATTTTTGTAGACCTCAATCGCAGATTCGTGATTAGGTTTTCTCAATTCAGAATTTCTTTCCACGTTCTGTATGTTGAATACCAATTTATTATACCAACACAGATTATTCCGAACGAATATTCGATAGATCATTCCGAGGTGACAATTTTATTGTTTCTATGCAGATTGAGTGAAAATAAAAGAATACACTTCAAATTAGCATAATTTGTTTCGTAAATGATGAGGAATTTCCAATAATCATCGATAAGATTATTCATGAATAAAACAATATTTTCAACGGCACATTTTCATTCATTACGCATTGTAGTTTTCGCATTATGCACCATATATTACACCAAAGAAATTAAAATTGCCAAAATGGCACACGTCCAGTCATCGTTGAAAATTATATTATGATAAACGTTGTCACTCATGAGTTTAGATTGATTACAAGTGCAGATTGATGACGAATCAATATAAAAATACACCTCAAATTAACATAATTTGTTTCGTAGAAGATACGGAATTTACAATAATCATCAATAAGATTACTGTCTGTAGGTTAATCGAGGAGGTGGTACATTCATTTTACTTGGTTCTTTGGGATTTTCTCTCCTCGTTTCTATAAAATAAAAGTATTCGTATTATTTCAATATATTTGTAGAGGGACAAATCAGATGAAAATGGTAGATTCAAGATCAATTAATGAAAACATCCTGTAACTCATTTGTAGACTAAAATCACTCATTCATATGCCAACATCAGTATGACACTGAAAAGTGTCAAACTATACGCAGCACAACTTTCAAAGAAAAATAATTTGCATTTACATGTTGAGAACGGGAGCAGAATCGGTCCCGAAACGTCCAAAGATAAGTACAAATTCGATATTTTTTCAATATATCTATATTTCTTTCCTTCAAAAATTTTTTCAAACAAATTGTCACTGACAAGCTACTGGATTTTTCTTTTAGACTCCCTGATAGAAAAATTTGTTAAACGCAGTGACATTTTGGGGCAAATCATCTGATTTGTCCCTCTACAAATATATTGAAATAATACGAATACTTTTATTTCATAGAAACGAGGAGAGAAAATCCCAAAGAACCAAGTAAAATGAGCAATAAGATTATTCATGAATAAAAAAAAACAATAATTTCAACGACACATTTTCATTTATTACGCATTGTAGTTTTCGCGTTGTATGCAACTAACATTACACCAAAGGAATCAAAATTGCCAGAATGGCACACGTCCAATCATCATTGGAAATTATATTATGACAAACGGTGAAATTCCGATTGAACAAAATTGACATTCTTTGTAATAAATTGTTAGTGAGTGCTTATCACAGAATATAAAAATGATATTAATGACAGCCTGATGCTGCTGGTGAGTCATTTTGTTTTTATTTTTCATTATACTACCAATAAGAAAGCGGAATACAAATACCAAAATCGATGTGTAGATAGGTACCCAGTATGAAATTCAATGGGCGTGTACACCTTAGTAGAACTTTTAACTCAAACCATGTTTATAATGATCCTTTTATACATAAATAATGATTGTTGACCTAATTCGATCGAAAAATTAACTGGAATGTTTTACTTTTGGGCATAAATAATAGTACATTCTGAAAACGGACCCTCTTATATGACGTAGAAACCTCATCTCGCCATAGTTAGAAGAAAATACCAAAAGCCCGACGGAGACTGAGGCAACTGATATATTGATTCTTTCAACTGTGATCTCGCGCTAATTCACTCTGTCAGAAATCATGTATCATTCATCTCTGTCTGGAATAGTCTTGTTTCAGTATCAGGGTTTTGACGTCACATCATCGCCTCGTTTTCAGAAGTCCGAAAAATCGGGGATTTCAATATTTTTTTATAAAACGTAGGGAGCTCACAGCAAAAAACGATTTGCGGTGGTGAGCTAGTTTGGGTGAGTTCTATCGAATTATGATTTTTTTTTGTGATATAAGCCCATTGTCGAAATAGAGAAACGAAACAATTGCGTTTTCGATTATCAATACAAATATTTCAACCATTCAAAAACGTGTATACTGAAATGTGTATATAGAAATAATCAGAGAAACACGTCTCGTAACACAGTCTAGTGCAATCATTAGTGTGCAAAGACACCAGATTCATCAATGCAGTATCGAATGTAGTAGAAAAATATAAATATGATTTTCAAAAACGAAAAACTAAAACAAACTAAATGAAGCACACGGAATATCAGTTCACTGATGAACATTTCTGTATAGTGCAAGACAAATTCTTTTCTAAAAAAGAATCTACTTGGAATGTCTCAGGAGTCTCCAAGCCGTTTTCAAGCTCACGACATAACTTTCAAATTTAATTTCTAACTGAAAGTTTTCGTGCCGTACCTACCACCAGCACGTCGGTGGTCATGAAAGGGTTGTTGAGGAATTAAGGCATGTTATCCCTAAACTATTACAAACGCGAATTTGCATATTATGTGGGTGAGTGATGGCCATTTAGCAAAATGCAAGAAGCTCGTCCTCGGTCAAAATCATAATAGGTTGTGATTTACGAGGATATAATCGGGATTACTATCGTTTCGGCAATAAAATGATAAAAGGATGAAGGGTTACAATTCGTTTGAACAGAATTCAGTACCTAACAGTTAGAAATGTTGTTACCTATACTCTATACACTGTCTCAAAAATCGACGAAAGTGTGACCGTAAATCTGTAGTGGAAATTGCTGTGAATCTTTATTTTATGCAAAATGTCAATATTTTGTTTCGTGGTTGCAAAGGAAGACATTGTTATGACGTTCAACTTGAAAACAAAACGAAAATCGGATAAAAACATCTGATGATCTTTCCAAATTATTTCAACGAATGAATTCAACCTCTCGAAGTTTGTTGCGTTTCTCCCTACTCATCCCATATATTATACAGGGTGTTTTGTAGGAAAATTCAACAGCTGCGCAGGAGCCCCTTTTTCGATATACAGATGGAGTGATTTTTTATAATTATATTTCATGTGTGTTTTTCAAGATTTACCACTGAGGTTCATTAACACATCTCATGAAAGCTTTATTTGATCATTCCAGGTATTCTAGTCAATTGAGCTCTTTTCTGTCTTGAACGAGAGAAAGGAAAGTTCTCACCTCTTCTATCTTTCTCTTTAGTGCTACCAACGTGGCCACATCAAATATAGAAAGATCCGATAACTCTTTCCTTATCTAACATCTGGTTTGTGCCACTGAACTATTTTTCGGATTCAGCAGGGTGTCAAGTCAGTCCCCGCGTAAACTTTGCCGCGAGATTAACCCGTCGAGTTGAGGCTTCGCACCCCTTCGCGGTCACTTTAGAGACCTGCAGAACATCTCTCTCCAAAGACTCGTTCATCCAACGAACGGCAAGGCTCTGGAACAAATTGCCAAGGGAGGTGTTCCCCGACACATATAACCTCCAAAAATTCAAGAAGAACACCAATTCCTACCTTAATTCCCTTGGTTCTCACGATGTTCTCTGAACATTACACGATATGTTTTTTGGTGAGAACCAGAACATAAAAAAAATTTCGTTCTTATGCGGGTTGCTTCAAATGGGTTCATTTTGAACTCAGAAATATGTGCTAAGATGTTGTACAGACCTAGAGGGATACCCTATTATGGAAAGTTTTGTCGTGACGGTTATCCTGAATTTGAGTTCTCAAAAAATATTGAAGGCTTGACCATTATACTAGCAGAAACAAAAGATATTTTTTCACCCCTATTACTCGAACACATGTAGAAAAATTGAGCATAGCAAAATGTATTGTTTTCTCACGTTTTATGATGCATAATATGACCTTACATCACGAACTATCATTCGATTCACGTCGTATGATATGTAGAAGAAACTACAAGGTTTCAAAGAAAGTGTTGCAGTTTTTTATTTCTGATAAAAATTCTGAACATCACATAGTCTTTCGAGTGGATGTGTGTGCTGGGATATTATACTTATGCCCGTACACACATAGTGAAAATACAGAATGGTTATTTAACCGAAAACCGTTGAATTCAACGATTCGTGGGAAAATACTTTTTTCCCATTCAAAAGAATTCTAGGACTCATGAGGTGAACATTCAGCGATTGGAGTGGCCAACGCGTAGTCCGGATTTGAATGCAATTGAATACGTATGGAATATGCTAGGTATAGACAGGTTCGAAATCGACACACAAAAACATTGCCAGATTCCTAAAAGCATGCCACATCTTATGAAAGAAGTGATAAAAGCACTATTACTTCTTGGATGCATGCTCAGACTACTCGTGGCGTCACAGTGGCTTACCTTTTCGATAGTTATGGTAAATAATTCACTTACGTTATAGTGTTCTCCAATTTCAATGTTTTTATCCGATTATACAATTGAAAATACAAATTTCTTGTCACGTACTGAATTTTTGTATACCACTTATTTTCTGAGGAAATGATAAAAATGTGAATTATTGATTCCAAATCTTGATGTAGTTGTCCTCAAAACACCCCTTGAGATTACTCAATAACCTCACTGAGTATTCTGAAATATGGAGACTATTTCAGTCATCAACCAGACTTAATTTTGCTATCATATGGAAGCTTATACAGGGTGATTATGAAAAACAACAATCAATACTTCTATAACTACTTCAACACATCAAATTTTGAAAACTAAGCATTTCAGGACCTATGTTTATAAAGGTGTTCAAAAACTTACTCTGAGTTGTCAACTCGATCCAGAGAGGATTCATTACTGAATCAAATTATGGAGATTGAAATAGTAGATTGTTTTATTTGGATCAAAACTGACACTTTGTTTGACAAGCGAATTTTGCATTCGCGAGGCGAAGCACTAGGTCGCCTACTAGGTTTTCATTTAGATCGACAATGGTCTAGCGAAGTCGAGCGAAAGCAATATATTGTCATATATGGATGTATAGTTCAATATTTACCGAAATTGACTGAAAATTGTCTACAATTTCTTATCACGGCACATTGAATGCAGCTGATTATTATTGTCGCAATTTTTGCTTCGAAGGTGACTTGAATTCCCAAATTCAATATATCAATTTGATTTTCAGACGTATATAAAAAACAAAAATAATTGAATAGTCCTAGCATCATATATGTGACGATGATATGTGTACACATTTTTTTTTACCCTCAATATTCGAATATCGGAGGTAAGTTGCCCATTTCTGTTGTTCATCATGTCATCATGTAATCTGTGATTTCTAGTGATGCAGAAAATTTCATCAAGAATGCCATTTATTTCGAAATCAATAATGAGAGATTCGCCATAATACGATGAGCACTTTCTGCATTTGACTTGTATGTTTTCCTTTGAAAGAACGGAAGATTAAGGCCGTCGTGTTCAAAATAAAGCCTCAATTCAAGGCATTATCAATATCTTATAGAACAGGTAAACCGATATGCAAAACGGAAAACGGTATACCTATACCTACCCCCCGTTACCCTTGATACCCACTTGCCAACTAACGGTACATCTTTCGGTACGTCCCGACAAAAACCATCCTCGCTTTGTAAATCCACCACAAACCGCTAGATCTCAGATCTCACCCCCGAAAAACGTAAACAGTTGCCAACGTCAGTAGTGGTGGAGGAAATTCCGCTTGCCATTGGTCAGATCTGCACTAGAAGACTCAAGTAGAGAAAATGCACTGAAATTGCAAATTTTATATATTTGTGTATTTAGTTTGATTGTATTATCAGTGAAGTTTGGAACAGTGTCCACCACGATTTGGGATAAATTCTTCACCATTTCCGGATACCACTGACGTAATCTTCGATACAAGATGGTGAGTATTTTTCAACGATTAAATAATAACGGAAACAGGAAAATTTTCAGTAGTTATCGTGTAGTTGTATTATGTCTATCGAATCCAAAATAACGGTTCCGTTTCCAATTTTCATACCTTTACTTAGACTTTTTTTTTGATAAACTTATTTATATTAGATAATTATGAAAGTGAGTACACATAATATAAAAATTAGTAAACATATTTGGAGACATGTAGCAGCCTGTAGTTTTTTTATTTGAAGAGATAAAATTTTGAAATTCACAGGGGGTATATAATCTATGATAGCGCACTTTACGAACGCAACGACAATTTCTTTCAACCACCTGTTTGACAGGAAGTGACCCCAACTTTTTTTTTAATGTCACCTTGTACATTTCTTCAGTCTATCTTTTTTGCCTTGAAATTCTCTATCCAACCATGTATCACAAAGTGGCATTCATTTTCTGATTCGCTGTTGAATTGATTTTTATTCAAAAAGAATAAGTTGGCTGTGACATGAATTCGATGATATATCGACACTTGGTAGGCTTTGAAAGTTAAATATCATTAGTGAACCGATATTATTCAAA